TGGTAGCTATTGTAATTGGTATTGTTTTCCTATTTCCTTTTCAGAAATCTTTTTGTTGATATAGAGGAATCCAGCTGATTTTTGCATGTTGATCTTGCATTCTGCCACTTTGCTGAACCTTTCTATTAGTTTCGGTAGTTTTTTTGCTGAGTCTCCTGGGTTTTCTATGTATAGGATCACGTCATTTGCAAGAGATAGGTTTACTTCTTTGCCAATCTGGATACCTTTTCTTTGTCTTTCTTGCCTTATTGCCCTGGCTAGGACTTCCAATACAATGTTAAGTAGAAGTGGCGATAGAGGGCATCCTAGGCTGGTACGCATTCGCAAGGGGAATGCTTTGAGTCTTTCTCCATTGAAAATAATGTTGGCTGTTGGTTTTGCATATATGCCCTTTATTATGTTGAGGAATTTCCCTTCTATTCCTATTTTGCTGAGAGTTTTGATCAGGAATGGCTGTTGGGTTTTATCAAATGCCTTTTCTGCATCAATTGATATGATTATGTGCTTATTTCCTTTGTTTTATTTATGTGATGGATGGTGTTGATTGTTTTTCTGATGTTGAACCACCTTGCATACCTGGTATGAATCCCACTCAGTCATGAGGTATTATTTTTTTGATATGGTGTTGCGTTCTGTTGGCTAGGATTTGTTGAAGATTTTTGCATCTATATTCATGAGCGATATTGGTCTGTAATTTTCCTTTTTAAAAAGTGGCGTCTTTACCTGGTTTTGGTATGAGGGTTATACTTGCTGCATGGAATGAATTTGGGAGTAGTCCGTCATTTTCTATGTCCAGGAATAGTTTGAGTAGTAAAGTGTCAGCTGGTCCCTGACCGTTTGATAGAATTCTCCAGTCAAGCTGTCTGGACCAGGAGGTTTTTTTTTTTTGGGCGGTGGTGGTGGTGGAATTTTTTAGGACCTGCATAATTTCTTCTTTCATTATGCGTCTGTTCAAGTATTCTATCTCAGACTGTGTTAGTTTAGGTAAGTCTTGTGTTTCTAGAAATTTGTCCGTCTCTTCTAGGTTTTTGAATTTGTTGGAGTACAATTCTTTGTGCTGTTATCTTTATTTCAGTTGGTTCTTTTGTGATGTCATCTATTTCGTTTATTATTTGTGTTATTTGCATCTTCTCTTTCTTTTCCTTTTATATTTGCCAGTGATTTGTTGATTTTGTTAATCTTTTCAAGAACTAGCTTGTTGATTTTCTCTTTTTTTTTCTGCTTCATTTATTTCTGCTCTAATCTTTATTATCTCCTTTCTTCTGGTTGCTTTAGGTTTCTTTTGTTGCTTTTCTTTCTAATTATTGGAGTTACTGAGTTAAGGTGTTGATTTTGATTCTTCTTTTTGGATATGTACATTTATTGCTATAAATTGATCTCTGTGTACTGCTTTTGTAGTTGTGGTACGTTGTTAGTTTTGGTAAGTTGTATTTTCATCCTCATTTGTTTCTAGGAATTTTTTATTATCCCACTTTATTTCTTCTGTTACTCAGAAGTTCTTGAGCAGTGTATTACTCCGTTTTCATATATTTGATTTTTTTTCCTTGGTCTTCCTATTATTATTGATTTCTTGTTTTATACCATTGTGATCTGAAAAGATGCTTTGTAATATTTCAGTGTTATTAAATTTATTGAGGCTTGTTTTGTGGCTGAACATATGGTCTACTCTGGAGAATGAGCCATGTGCACTGGAGAAGAATTTGTGTTGTGCAACCCAAGGAGGGGTCGCTGAGTTGGGTCTGACTCTACAGCAGTGTGTTGTTTTTGTTTCGTTGGGTGGAATGCTTTTTCTTTATCTGTTAAGTAGAGTTGGTTGATTATATTGAGATCTTCTGTATTTTTGTTGAGTGTTTTTCTAGTTGTTTTTTCTTCTTTGAAAGTGGTTTGTTAAAGTCTATTACTATTGTAGAATTTCTATTTTTCCTTTCAATTCAGTTAATGTTTGCTTTATGTATTTTGGAGCTCTTTCATTGGGTGCATAGATATTTATTATGGTAATGTCGTCTTGGTCAATTGACGCTTTTAACATCATATAATGCCCTTCTTTGTCCTTTATGCTGGTTTTCACCTGTAAGTCTATTTTATCAGAATTTAATATTGCTACTCCTGCTCTTTTTTGGTTGCCATTAGCTTGATATATATGTTTTCATCCTTGATTTTTAATTTACTTTTATCTTTGTGTCTAAGTGTCTTGTGTAGGCAACATATCGATGGGTCTTCTTCTCTTATCTAATCTGCCACTCTCTTTCTCTTGACTGGTTCATTTAGTCCACTCATATTCAGTGTAATTATTGATAGGTATGAATTTATCGCTGTCATTCTATTTTGTTTTTTGTTGTGTTGTTGGTGGTTTCTTTGTTAAACATATTTTTCTGGGCTGAGTTGATTTTGTTACCAAGTATTTTTTTCTCTTTTCTTCATTATTGCTAGTTTTGTGTTTTCTAAACGCTTGTGATTTTTTCTTAGTTTGATTAGAAGGCTTGTTGATTTTCTTTGTGGTTACCCTGTAGTAAATTCTTATCTCCTAAGTTTGAACAGCCTGTTCTGTAAAGACATTGTCCTGTCTTCCTCTCCATTTTGAAGTTTTGTAATTAAAACTTTTATTCCCTTTGTTTGCTTTGTTGTTGGTATCTCTTACAGATTGACTCCACTGTTTCTCTATTTAAGGCTTTTGTGAGCTTATTTGAGATTCTTTTTCTGGGTTGATTTCTTGGTGGTGGTATTAAGTGTCCTAATTTAATTTGTTGTTTTCTATTGGAAGGACTCCCTGTAGGATTTCTTATAGGGTTGGTCTGGTTTTCACAAATTCTTTTAATTTCTGTTTGGGAATGTCTTAATTTCACCCTGATATTTGAAGAACAGTTTGGCTGGATATATAATTCTTGTTTGGCAATAATTTTCCTTCAAGATTTTGTGTATGCCATCTCATTGCCTTCTTGCCTGCATGGTTTCTGCTGAGAAATTAGAGGTTAGTCTTACTGGTTGCCTGTTGTAGGTAACATTTCTTTTTTCCTGAGCTGCTCTCAAGATTCTTTCTTTGTCTTTGGTTTTGGAATGTTTGGTTATGATATATCCTGCTCACTTTCTCTTGGGGTCTGTGGTAGTTCAGGTTGTCAGTCAACTTGGATTGGCCTGGATTTGAGTGACTGGGCAGCTGGATGAGGTTATTCCTCATGATGAGACTGGTAATCAACTCCATGGTGGAATATACAGCTAAGTTGCTGGTTTAGGGATGTGGTCTGCTTGCAGTATATAAAAGGACACTTTGAGAAAGGTCTTGAGCTGTTTGTTACTCTTGGACTCTGCATGTAGCTGAACCTTAATTCAGCAGCCTGCCATATTTCCTGCTGATCTTGGGACTGTCTCTGGACTTGAATTAGTAGACTGCTGTGTTGCTTGATAATCTTGGGACTGTGCCATTTTACTTGTTGACCTTTGGTTTGTCACTCTCAGCAGCCAGCAGCTGCCTAAGAGAAGCCTTCAGCAGCAAGAGGCAGAGCTGTAGCCCAAGGCTGAGGGGCCTTCACCCAGCCCCTAGAACTGGCAGTTTGAACTCAGACTTCTAGCCTCCTGAACTGTAAGAGAATAAATCCCTGTTTGTTAAAGCCATATATTTGTGGTATGTCTGTTACAGCAGCACTAGAGAACTAAAACAGGATCTATCTTGAATGGGATTCATTGAGCTTCTTGGATAGATATATTTTAATCTTTCATGATACAGGGGATGTTTTCTGTTAGCAAGTTTGTGACAATTTTCTTTTTGCTGCATCTTGTTCTGGAATTCTAAGCAGAGATATATGTTACTTCTTTTCATGTTATCCCATATAACTCTTAGGTTTTTTTTTTGTTCTGCTTTTTCCTCATACAAGGTGGTATCAAGGGCTTTGTCTTCTAGTTAGGAACTGTGTTCTTCAGCCAGTTTGAGTCTATTCTTTTCTCCTTCCAGTGTGTTATCTCTGTAATTTTAGTGTTCATCTTTTGGATTTCTAATTGCTGTTTTTGTTTGATTTCTAATTGTATATTTTGTCATTTTTCTCTTGAATGATTTTCTGGTCTGTCTTTTCCTTGCTTCTGTTTATGGTTTCCTTGAAAGGTCATATATATATATATATATATATTTGTTGTTGTTATGTGCCGTCGAGTCGGACCCGACTCATAGCGACCCCTCCTTGGGTTTCTGAGGCAGTATCACTACGGAAGTAGATTGCCCCATC